CTCTTTTGTCTGCGTAGTGCAGCGTGAGACATTTGGAGATAGCGCTCCAATTAAGGGGAACATTATACGACTCGAGGGCCGTGTCTGCATTGCCAGTGATTTTGTTTCTCACTGTATGCAATATGCCAAAGTATTTTGGCGAACCTGCCTCGGCTGCATAGGCGGAGAGTATACGATCTACACTCTTCTTCCATGAGCTAAATTCCGCTGGATTACCGGAGAATTCTCTGAGGCTTTTTACAATGTCCGGAACTCTGTCTAAGTCATTCAAATTGTGGTTGGCAGTTATTGTTTGGTCGTCTACGTCACTAAACTCTCTAGAGGGGTTGATTAACTGCTTTACTAATGTCGGCAGTTGTTGTGTCAAAATCTGGCTAACCGTGGCTGCTATTATCTGCTCTGCGTTATTCGCCATGACTCTATTTTGTAAATGTTCGTTTTGTCTGTCGATATGTCGTTGTTGCTGTCTGTTCAAGTTATGTCCGCCTACCTGTGGTTGCTCTGATACTATTGGGGGCCTAACTAAATTGCTTTCATTAGCCATAAACGAGATATATTACTTATTTTGTATGTTTTAAGATGTTTTCTAAGTATATTTAAATCTAGTGTTAATTTCTTACTCTATATTTTAATTGAATTTTTGATAGTTTTTATGTTCTTTTTAAAACCAGTGGCTGGTTTCTTCCTTTTACTTTGGAGGGTCCCTTGGGAGTCGCAAAGTTGGAAATAGTTTATACTACGTTCGTAGTCTTTATATTTGTTTATCGTTTTACACTTTTTTATCTTGCTTATTGTTGTTGTTGTTTGGTATTTTTTGTTCTTATAATTATGTTTTGCCTTTGTGTTAGTTTTTTGCTTGTTTTCTTTTTCGTATTTCACTTAATTTCTAACTTACAGTACTATTCCTGATGTGGCAACCTCCCCTGCCGGTCCGGATTTCATCCTTTTTGAAGCCTTTGGGTATCTACTGGGGATCCTGCGACCAGTCTTCGTCGAGAGTATCCTGCGGGCGGGCCTTACAGAATGCGTTGTCCACCGATGGGCCAAATTGAACAATTAAGTTCCAATTGCCTTTCGCGAATTTCACCAACCGTTGAATTTAATCACCGCGAGTTGCACTTGGTTTTTTTTTCGCGTATAACCGACTAACGCGTACGTAGAAGCGTTTTGTTCTTTTGTATCGCGAGCCGGTCCCTGCTCGGGCGCCAGTTAATTCCAAAGTTTATTAAACGATGAAAAAAATTATTATTTTTAGGGAAGCAAGACTTCCTTTATTTGATGGTAATTTGCAACTGAATAAACTTAAATCAATTCTAGCCCTAGTAACCTGTGGCTTAGCGGCAGCGGCGTTGGCAGCGGCGTCGCTGCTGATGTTGTTGGCCCGTTGGGCAATTCTTCTTGGAATTTTCGGCGGTTGCCAGTCGGCGCGTGGAGGAAATGGCACAGACACCAAGTCAGCATTTCGCTGCACTTCTTATGAGGTGTTGCAATGCTTCTTATTGGGACTGTGTGAATTTATTTGTTGTTAACTTATATACATGCATACATACATGCATACGTACATACTTACATACAAACATACTTATATACACACATACACATAATACATACAAATGTGCAAACAAGCAACACACATGTATACAAACAATCATAAATAAACACACACATATCCACACATAATAAATACATATATGCATACAAGCATACATACATATATACATGCATACATATATACATCCATGCATACATACATACCTACATACTTACATACTCTTTTTTAAAGGCCAGAGCTAATGGAAAATAAAGGTGAATAGCTTGTAAACAACTCTCATTCATTGAGGGATTCTATTATTTAGAAAAAGAAAAAAAGAGTGTAGTAAATTGTTTAGATGAAGTGTACAGTAGTTTTTCACGCTGATAGCCATTTGTTTATGTTAGTTTATAGATAATACAAAATTGTCTGCAATGAGATATTGATATATTGATACATACATACATACATACATAATTACTTACATACATACCCATAAGGCATACATTTATGCTTACAAGCATACATACATAAGCAATTTTTATACATACGTATATACATACTCATACATACATAAATACATTCTTACATACATACATACTTCCATAAATACATACACATAATACATGCATACATACAAATTCATAAATGATGATAATTCCCTTTGGCAGAGTATGAAAACTTTACCCAGCTGCGTCAGACATGCGGACAGTCTCATCTACTCAAATATTCCCTTTTACAGACTCGAACTATCTACACACAATTAAATATTCCCTTATATATGAACACAAATATTTCACACTCTAAAATTCCTTCACATTTTTGAACATGTCGCACATTAATTAACTCATAAATTTGTAATTAAAACAATTTTCAATTTGAATCTGACTTTCTTCGGTAAAAAATCATTTCCACCTCTATTCACAATGGTGAACAATTATTGACACTTTGTGTTCAACATATGCCAATAAATTTCTGATAGACTGAATTTGTTTTAATACTGAGATTTATTTTATTATTTTTTTTATGCGCATTCAGAAAAAATAGGTTCTAATAAATGTAAAAAGTTTTTATTTTTGTTATCTCTTTTTTTGCCTCTTTTCAGCAATAGAGAAAGTTGCAACCTGGCTGAGTAATCGCTTTATATAACTTTCACCTACGGCTTAAAGTCAATTAGTTGAGTTGCAGTTAAAACTAATTCAAAGCGCACAGGTCAAAAGATTTTCCATTTATTTTACTTGGCCCAATTTGTTCTGCCAACTAACTGGATCAGTTGGTCAGCTTTTACGGAGATTTGAAGTCATTAAAGAATTTGTTTTGTTTAATCGGAAAACTTGAACAATAATATTTTCATAATAAATCTAAGCCGCTTGCACAGCTAAACCATTATTCACAAAAATATTTATATCTCCAAAGCTGGTATTCATTTCAAGAAAAAAAATAAATACTCTGGGGCTCTTTTAAGGAAATTCGTTTTCAATTTAAAGGCGTGTGCCTAGGTGTGGTATTGTCTTTTTCAAAGGTCAGAGCTAATGGAAAATAAAGGCTAATAGCTTGTAACCGACTGTCATTCATTGAAGGATTCTATTTTTTAGAAAAAAGAGAAAAGAAAAAAAAAGGAGTGTAGTAAATGCTTAGATGAAGTCCACGGTAGTTAGTTACGTTGATAGCCTTTTGTTTATGTTAGTTTATAGTTAATACAAAATTTTCTGTAATAAGATTATATTGATTGCTTCTTACAAGCACATTTCACGTGGCTCTTAAAAGTTTTTAACAGGAAATCTGTTTAAAAAAAACTATCTAAAAACAAAAGTGTTCCAGTCAGAAGTGCCCGTCTAGGAGATAGACCGAACCCAATGCCAGGCTGCCGTTATACACATTGTCCCTTGCTTCTTGCATACGTACACAAAAGCACGGACTCACACATACACACGAAAGTACGCCCGCGGCTCTGCTTCTTTGTCTTCTCTCAACCCAACACTTTCTATGAGAAGTGCATTCTTGATTAGCTTCGGTGATTATAGACCGATCTAAACGAAATTTTCAGCATTTAAATAAGGCATAGTAGTGTGTGCAAAGACGCAAGGCACTATCTTTAAAAACAAGTAAGAGGTTCTAGTCGGGAGCTCTCGACTAGGGGATACCCTGAACCCTCTTTTCCAATATCAAATGCATACATATATTCTATTTTAGAAGATATATGTGAAGGTTTGGTGACTCTAGCTCTTATTATTTACCAAAATTGCCCAAAAAACAGGATATCGATATCGATTTTTATCGATTGCTTGGAAACGGAGTAAGTTATCGATTATCGATCTGCGCGGGAACTAGGAGCATCTACATCTAAAATTTCAAGTCTCTAGCTCTTATAGGTTCTGAGATTCTTGCGTTCATATATACGGACGGACGGACGGACGGACAGACAGACGGACATGGCTAGATCGACTTGGCTATTGATGCTGATGAAGAATATATATACTTTATGGGGTCGGAGATGCTTTCTTCTGCCTGTTACATACATTTGCATTTTGCACAAATACAATATACCCTTTTTACCCATTTTTAATGGGTTCAGGGTATAATAATCTTTTTCCAATTTTCGGAGCTATGCAAGAAGTAATATATTTAAAAATAAGGTAGTTCTTTCCAATTTTGTGGAGTTGGGGATAGTTATCCAATAAGTGAAATGTTCTTAATCTGTGTATTCTATACAAGAATATACCAAAAAAATTTGGAGTATCTTTATATTTTCGAGTTTTGCCCAAAAAACCAAGTCACAAAAATCGATATTTATCGATACTATGAAAATGTGAGCAAATATCGAGAGATCAATGATACATATGACAAATTCCAATATGTCTATCTGTGTAGTTTCCGAGATTAAGACGGTCACACAGAGTTTATCTAGACAGATGAAATTTATCTAGACTTCACTCAGAAAGCAGGAGTTTGCTACTGCTGCTTGATTAATTGGAGTAAATAAATAAATATCCAATAAATATATAAAATTGATAAAGGTTTCAATAATATAATTTTTAATTTCTGAGTAATTTAATCAAAAATCGTATTATTGTCTCCAGTAAAACGGTTCGTGATAACCTTAATAATACGACCCGTGGGTATGATAATGAGACGTTAGAATATGCTAAGGTTGTAATCGTTAATTCGTGCACGACAACTTGTTGTTTAATTAGTGTGGTCATTTATAAATGGCAACCGGTTATATGTGGGCAATATGGACACATTTTCAAGGGGCAACAGAAGCCAAAAATAGATTTAGGTTAAGGCATGAAAGCCTGAGCCGTTAGCCTCTCACCTTATGAAGTCTGGCGCACATATAAATATACTCAATTTATTTCTTTAGGGGATTTAAAGTGTGTGTAGATATTAAATTTCTTTTGAAAAAGTGCTCAATTCATTTAAATTTGTTCTTGTGCGTGGTTAAATTTTGCTTGCGGTCTTTTTGTAGGTCTCCTGGATACGCAAGCGGGACCTGCATATACTGACCGTGGGCATATTGACCTATACGAACGATCAGCGCTTTCAGTCGCTGCACTCGGAGGGCTCCGATGAGTGGACGCTGCGCATCTCCTCGCCGCAGCCGCGCGACTCCGGCACCTACGAGTGCCAGGTCTCAACGGAGCCGAAAATCAGTCAAGGATTTCGCCTGAACGTCGTAGGTAAGTGGATGAGGGTGTGCGCGCGTGTGTGGGAGTAGGTATTTCCTTTGCTTTAAGCATGCGAGCAATTATTTTTATTTTGTGGTCTTGCTTTACAGTGTCGCGCGCTAAAATTCTTGGCAATGCGGAGCTGTTCATCAAGAGCGGCAGCGACATTAATCTCACCTGCCTGGCGATGCAGTCGCCGGTACCACCGTCGTTTATCTATTGGTACAAAGGCAAGCGGGTCATGAATTATTCGCAGCGTGGGGGCATTAATGTCATCACCGAGCGCTCGACGCGGACCAGCAAGCTGCTGATAGCCAAGGCCACGTCCGCTGATTCCGGCAACTACACGTGCTCGCCAAGTAGCTCAGGTGAGTTGTCTCTGCCACACAGTGCGGTGGCTGCCACTTACCTGCATCTCCTACTCCTCCTCGTCCTGCTTCTGTTCCTGCTCCTTCTTCCGCTTCTTCGCCTTCGCCTTTGCCTTCATCTGCATCTTCATCTTCATCCACTTTAATGCCAACGTACTTATCCGCCTTTCTGAGTGTTTGTGTGTCGGTTGCAGTCTCTTTCTATGCCCGCTGGCAATTAATGTGACGTCCCTTGCCAAAGGAATTTCCACCACAAACTAACAGCTCTTCCCTAGAGATGTGCGCGTGTCTAATTTTTATAGCAAGTCACAAACACAAAGTAAGGACATGGGCAAAAAGTCGTGTTTCAGATCTGGTAAATTCGTGTTACCTCGCGTATGGGTCGTGATACAATCGTGTTTAAGTCGTGCAATTATTATTACTTGAGTCGTGTTAGCCCGTGCTAAGACGTGTTACGTTGTGTAAAAGTCGCGTAGAGTCTTTTGTAAATCGTGCTAGGTCGTGATAAGTGCTGTTCTAGTTGCTGTAAAATGTATATAATCATCCTAAGTAATTTTGGGCTTTTTTTGAGTCATATTTAGGTAAGCACTGGCATTGCAAGCAATTTGAGTCGCGCTAAAATTGTGTTGAATCCTTTGGTATTCTTATAAAGCCATGTCGAGTTAAAACGTGCATAATGCTGTTTATAAGTAGTCGTTTTGAGGCATCCAAAGTCCTTATATTTAATTCGTGTCTGATTTGTGTTCAATCATATAATCTCGTGTTGAGCAGCATTTAGCTGGTTTAGGTAGGTTTTGACTCGCGCTTACGAATTAAGTAGATTAAATAAAATTGAGTCTTTTTACAGTCCTGTTGAAATTGTATATGAGTCGTGTTCAATGTCGGATTTGATACGTGTTTAGTAGTATTAAGTAGGTTAAATCGTATTGATTCGTCTTGCAGTCGTGTCACATCGTGCTGAGGCCTATTTGATTTCCTTAAGTCGTGACTTATACTTACCAGTCGTGCCAATTCTGAAGAAGTCATGGCAAAACACGACACGCATCCAACTCTAGCTATCATCTCTTGCCTCCCTCCTCAGGCCCTCTGCCCACTCTCAGCCCAAGTGCATCTCGGTGTCTTTTATTTTATATCCTTATCTTATGTTCAACGTATGCACAGACTCCGCCTCGGTGGTGGTGCATGTCATAAATGGCGAACATCCGGCTGCAATGCAGCATGGCAACAGCAGCGCCAGCTCCTTGCGCTCCACGTGGAGCCCAGTGCCTTTACTTGCCGTGACAACGACGACAGCTGCGGTAGCTGTCACATGGAACTGGAATTGGAACTGGAGCAGCAGCAGCAGCTTTGTTGCAGCCGCAACGCTGCTACCGGCGGCCCTGGCGAATTGGTTTGGTCGCCGCAGCTCCAGCTGGAGCTGGAGTTGGAGCCTGAGCTGATGATGTGGCAGCTGTTGCGGCAAGCTGAATGACAGCCCCGGCCTAGTTGGGGCAGTTGCACTTATCTTCTGTTTAGTGTTAATGATGATGCATTTAATGTATGTGTATGTGTGTGTTAGAAGCCCGACTCGGTTCATAAACTAAATGGTGTACATACTGCAAAAGTCCTTTAACGAGTATAATCTGTAAGCAAACCAAATACGATATGGCAGCCAAGGTGACTAAAAAAGCAAAAATATAAAAAGAGAAACAAGTATTAAGAAGCAAACTTTTAAAAATGAGAAAAAGAAACCCAACCTAAACATACGTTTGCAGTAAAGCATATTCGATAAACGAATCTCTCTAAGCTTTTCATTTCAATTTAAAAAGATAAAAACGCTTTCATCTTGAATTTCGCAAACATTTTGTAGTTTGATTTTTTTGTGGCGCTGCTTGTTAAAATTTAATAGCTAAAATATTTCGAAGTACAAGTTTATTAAACATAGATATTCATTCGGGTCAAACACACAAAACTTGTTTATTGCCGCCAAAAAGTATGCAACGAAAAACTAATTTTGAGTTGAAAGCGTTTTCAGCCCCAGCCTCGCCGTTCGTTCCCCTTGTACACAAAACTCACTTGTAATTCTTTGACATAATTCATATACATATTCATATATATATGCATATAAAGTTAAATATAGTGAAAAATATAAATCTATACAGCTCACACAAAGTCCAGCCAAATTACACGCTATTTAATTTTGATTTCCCAAATGGTTTTAGGCATTCAAACAAAATTAATAATAAAATAACAAACGTAATGAATTGTGCAGCCTGGTCCTGTGTATATAGTATAAATATTTGTTGTGCATCGGCTTGCATCATTCATTATTTAAGCAAAACAAAACAAATGCATGGTAATAACCACAACAACAAAAACAACTACAACTAGAACAAGAACAAAATTTTTCCTTGATTCTGTATTTCAATCTGTATACAATTTATAAAACTTGAAAAAATGTCGATGTATATTTCTAAGTTCTTATCTGATTGTCTGCCATAAAGTTCTATGTAGTCCATCAACGTGTAAAATAATTAATAATTGATATTACATTATTAATAACTGTAAATTTAGCGCTCGATTTTAAGCGGTCTTGATAAGACTTTTAAGCGATAAGTATAGACGACCCCAAGTTGACAACTCTCAAATCACAAAAACAAAAATAAAAACAAAAAAAAAAACAATTGAAGAAAAATATAAATAATAAATAATGTTTTCTGTTTAAAAACAAAAATAAAAACAAATAAAAATGTTTCTCCATATTAAAAATATGGTTATGGTTAAAATAATAAAATTGTACTGGGCTTTTAACTGCAGGAAATTGGGTAATTTTTGATTAGGTTTTTTAAATGGAATACTAAAGGCGGCATTTGGATGTCAAGGATTTATTTGACTTGGCAACACTGGCTAGTTGCTTGCTGAGATCAATACGAGCACCGAGAGAGTGCAGCGGCAGCTGCTCAGCTGTCCACGCTCTCAGCGTTGCGGCAGCCATTCAAAATGCTTTTGGCACATTTCGCTGCACTGCGATATTCGCCTAAGTCGTTGAGCGCAATCACAGTGAGCACTTGTCAAATGCCGAGAGCCGCTATTTTATACTCAAACGCATTTAAGCTGAGCTTAAATGGGGACATATGCTTCCAGTGGAATTTCGTCTCGTGAAATTTTGCACTCAACAGGGCAAGCAGCTTAGCGTCGCAAAGCCGCTCATCGCCATTCGCCATGCTTTGCAGTTGAGTTCGATGGAAAAGCTACTTTAATTTTGTAAACGATATAAATAGAGGTGAATTGGACATATTTCTTCTTATACTTTTAACATAGTTCTAACTAATTGGCAACAGTGTAACTTGACTGCTGTAATAAATATAGCTTTAACTAGCTAGGGCAGCACTGGCGGATTGATTTAAAATTAGGCTCTTTTCTGCGCCTGTTTCCGGCCGTGTGCTAATGAGCAATGCTAACGAGCAAGAAATGCTGCCCATCGTTTATTCTATTATGGAAATATTTAATTAACACGCAATATGTGGTATGCTTGCCAGCTTTTTGGTTCGATCTTCTTCATTATATATACGACCAACATGGCCACTTTGTTGGCCCTAAAAAGCCTACAATTTTTGCGGCTGAAGTGCACCCAAAATGAAAGACTAATTAAGCGGCTTATTTGCGCGCATTAATGGACCAACTTGTGGTCAGCTTGTGTGTGCGTGTTTGTGTGTGTGTGTGTGTGTGTGTGTACGGGTCAACAGCTACCATAACAATAATAACAAATAGTCGTGACCAGAGCAGTGACCATTTATTTATATTTCGATTTAAAAATAGCAAACACACAAATGGACTTATAAAACTCTCTGGCAGCTTACGGGCCGGTGCCGCGGGGGATGTCCGAGCAAAACACAGAACAAAAACAAGGCTGAACAAAAGTAAAAAAAAGGGTACAAAAGTCAAAAAGAAATAAATGGCTTTTCAAGTCTTATTTACTCGAGAGAGTGAGAGAGAGAGAGATAGAGAGAAAGAGTGAGTGAATCTGCAAGAGAGGGACATCGTGCGAAGGGCAATACCGAATGGAATCAATGTAAAGGTCACAATTTATTCAATTGCCCTGGCCAAGATATTTTTATAGCGTGTTCATGCGCCAAGACCCAGACCTAATCCCAAATCACAACGGAATAGCAGACTGGTAATGGTTATGTAGGGGATGAGGCGCCAGAATTGTGAGCGCCAGGGTTCAAGAATCCAGCGTATAATGGCCAATTGATAGCCAAAAGGCATTAACACGCCAAAGCAGGAATTCCCCTGGCTAAAAACCCAGCTGGATACCCCGCATCCCTTTTCCTTCCAGCCCAGCCAACTTTTGCTGACTCAAAGAGAACCAATTGTTTCGCAAGCTCACAGAGAGACAAAAATATTAAGTTCAAATGTAGCAGAAATCCAAAATACGTGCCTGCAGTAGTAAACAGCAGCAGGGTGACCCCTCGTAGGCGACCTTAGGACCCAACCCCTAGACCCCATCCGAAAGCCCAACCTTTTGCCTTGTTTAGGTGTGGCTTATGTGTGTGTACATGTTCGTTTGCGCGTGTATGTGTGTGTATGAAAAGCTGAAAATCACGTCTTATTCAATGCGTTCCTTTGAGGATTTATTAAGGGATAGGTCAGAATATTCATATATCGATATTTCTTTGCTTTATGGTTTTTTATAAAATTTAATAAAATATTGCTGCCAGCCATTGAGACGGAGACAAATGATGGCCAGTCCGTTGCCAGGACTACGTAATGGCCAATGGAGCTGGTGCACAGCGATTCCAAACACTTAGAGCTATTAAATATTTTACGTTATAATATATACGCACGTATACGGTTAGAAATTGAGAGCGAGAGAGCGCATGGGACCTGGGCCAGGTTAATGGCTTAGAATGAAAGAAGCGAATGTAACGCATCGGGCATATTTATGAAATTTTTATCATCATTTTTCAAAAGCCAGTCAAGAATGCAGCAGAACGCTTCGACACACTTCAAGAGCGGTGCGGGGATCGGGACAAATGCTGCCCTGCATTGGATTCCACAGATACTCACATATTTGGTTGCCTTTGAACACCAGGCAACAGGCCAGCCCAGCGGGTAGCTCAGCAACTAAGCACAATATTGGCTACGCAGCAGAAATAAGCAAACATCGTAGTTACACATATATGTACCAAATACCCTGTAAGCCTTAACTGCATACTTAGATGGTAGATGAATTCAAGGTAAACTAATAAATCTAGGCGCTAAATTAGGTGAGTTTTTATACCCTTGCAGAGGGTATTATAAATTTGTCGTAAAATGTGTAAGGCATAGAAAGAGACATCTCCGACCCCATAAAGTATATATATTCTTGATCAGCATCAACAGCCGATCGATAGAGCCGTCTGTCTGTCTGTCTGTTTCTATGCGAACTAGTCTCTCAGTTTTAAAGCTATCTTAATGAAATTTTTCAGAAGTCCCTCTTTCTGTTGCACGCAGCACATATGTGAAAACCAGCTGGATCGGACCACTATAGCATATAGCTGCCATAGGAACGATCGGTCGAAAATTAAGTTTTTGTATGAAAAAACATTTTATTTTTCAAGATATCTCGACCAAACTTGGGATTTGTTAGTTATATTATGCTGCTCATAATTATGCAAAATCCTATTAAGATCAGACCACTATATCATATAGATGCCATAGGAACGATAGGTCGAAAATTAAGTTTTTGTATGAAAAAAAATTTTGTTTTTCAAGATATCTTGACCAAACTCAGCATTTATTAGTTTTACTATGCTCCTCATATATTTGCAAAATCCTATTAAGATCGGACCACTATATCATATAGCTGCCATAGAAACGATCGGTCGAAAATTAAGTTGTTGTATGAAAAAACATTTTGTTTATCAAGATATCTTGCCCAAGCTCGGGCATTAACTATTTATTATTAACTATTTTCCCTGTGCTTCTTAAATACGGGCAAAACTCTATAAGCATTATGTAAAGATTGGGTCTGCAAGGGTATTAGATCTTCGGCGAGCCGAAGATAGCCTTTCTTTCTCATTATAGTAAAGATTAGGCTGTAGGATTGAACTGAAAGAGCCCATTTTTAACCCATTAATAGACTATTACTATAGGTATATATTTTTATACGGAAAAATAATGAAAGACATTTCCTTATTAAGAAAAGATAAATACATAAAATATATATGAATAAAAAATGTATATGTTTATAAAAGAAATAGACACTAAGCAGCTTATATATTAAAAGATTATCTTATGTTTGTATTATATTAGTAAAAAAATATCCTTCAGAGACTAACTATTTATTATAATTTGAATAGATTTTTATACAATAATACAATATAATTTAAAAGGCAGATCCTAATTAAGAGGTGGATCAAGGTGGATAAATATTATATTTGATACATATATTATAAATCAAATATATATTTTCTATAAGAAAAATTTCGTGCACAAGCTTCCTGTTATTTAGGAAATTAAGATATAACCAGAAAAGTTTTATTTCAAATAGGTGGATATATAGTCAGAAACTTAAGCAACTCTTATAATAGTATACATTTATATATATTTTTGGGTATACAATCTCTAATTTCGAATGCTTTTTCGATCAGGCTTAATCAATTTTAGCTAAATCAATTAATAGATAAATAAAAATATACTTAAAAATGCAAACAACCTGTAAGCCTTGTATGCCTCACTAGTGGAACAGGGTATGTGCATTTACAAAAATGAAATAAAATGAAAATTGCTTAAACGCATGGAAAGTGCTTGTGGGATGTGCGCATAATGTTTCTGAGCTACTTACGGCTGGGCGGTGGGAAAATGGAGGGGGGGGGGGGGGCGAATTGGATTGGCCAAGGGCAGGGGCATTGACGCTTGGCAAAGAGTTGCAGCTTAGAAGCATGACCATAAAAAGGTAGGATATGGATGAGCCTTAGCTAAGACAGCAACCAAAACAGAGACAGCAAGAAACAGGGGCGAGAGAATTGAAAAATGGAAATTGTGCAAGTGCATGGAAATTGCTAATCGGATGTGCGAGAAATGCTGTAAAACGAGTTGACTCCAATAGAGAGACAGCCAAAGGGAAGTAGTTGGCAGATTGGGGGCTGGGGAAGGGGTTGCCGGTGCTTGGGTGTAGCCAAGACCACAACCAAATGAAAATTGCTTAAGCCAATTGCATGGAAAGCGAACAGCGGATGTGCCAAAAGCCATTGCGACAGTTAACAAGCCTTTAAGACAAGGCACAAGGCACAAGACACGAAGTTGAATAAGCCAGATATCAGATTACTTAAGATACGAAGCAAGCTCTTAACACACATACACACCATTGCGTGTGCGTGTGTAAGCAGCTTGGGACTATTAAATTAATCGCTCTTCCCGTCTGGCAAATACATGAAACAAAAGTGCTTTGCTTCACACTGATTCGATTATCGATAAATAGTTACAACTGAGTTAGGAGTGTTTAATAAGTCTATAAGATATTTTGATTTACTTAAAGTACTTAAAGAACAGCTGCGATAGCTTGGCAAATACTATTTTGATTTTATAAGCAAGTACTTTTTATTATCGAGAAAAGGTTCACCTTGAGGGTCAAATTTCGATTCAATGCACGACTAGCATTTAACCTAGGAACTAAGCAAT